CCTAAACCCGAACACCTTAAACCCTAAACCCCTAAACCCCGAAACCCCCCCCCCCTAAGAGCCTCTGTCTCTCTTCGGCGAGGCCCGTCTCGGCCAGGAGCTCACGATGACGCGCCTGCTCCGCTTGCACGCGACGGCCGGTGGCCTCAAGGGGTTTAGGGGGTTAGGACTGCAGGGTTTTTAGGGTTTTTAGGGATTTAGGGTTTAGGGTCTAGGGTTTAGGGCTGCTTTTGGGGGATTTCAGGTTTAGGGTCTAGGGTCTAGGGTTTAGGGTTTAGGGTTGGTTTTGGGATTTAGGGTTTAGGGTCTAAGGGGGTTTAGGACTGTAGGGCTTTGGGGATTTAGGGTTTAGGGTCTAAGGGGGTTTAGGACTGTAGGGTGTTTAGGGTTTTGTTGTTGATCGCCCTTTGTCCAACTGCAGGTTCTGTGCTTTAGGGCTTGGGGGCTTTGAGATTTTGGGTTTAGGGTTTCGGGTTTCGGGCTTAGGCTTAGGCTTTGATAGAAGAGTACGGCTTTGAAGCAAATCATACTATAGCCATGCGAAGACTGTAAGGGGAGACCCTCATTCCTACTAACTACTATAAGTTATAAGGGGAGACCGTCATTCCCACTACCTACTTATGCTGGCCTCGATCTCGGCATTCAGCGCCTCGGCTGTCTCCATGGCGGCTCTTTCGGCCCTTCGGTCCTTCGGTCCGCGGGGAGGCGTCTATCGCCCCCTCAACTCTCAGCCCAACCAACGCCCCCCCCAGTATGCTGTAAGGGAGTCTTAACTTAGGTTCATCAACCCAAAACGTTAAACCCTAAACCCTGAATCCCAAAGCCTAAAGCCCACCCCCTAAACCCCAAACCCAAAAGCCAGGAATGGAACTTCTTCCTTTGAGCCCAGAGGTGGCGCGACGTCCTGGAATTTCATAGAAGCTTCCTTGGGTCACTTGCTTAACCCTACAAGAAACCGAAATTCGCCTATTCCCGACGAAGAAGGATGTAGAAGCTAGCTGTCCAGGATGATGGGTTTAGGGTTGAGGGTTTAGGGTTGAGGGTTGAGGGTTTAGGATTGCGGCAGGGCCGGGAATTAAGATCATCAGCCCTACGTCCTCCGCCATAAACTCCTAAACCTGAGACTCTAAACCCTCTTCCCTGGACCCTAAGCCTAGAAGCCATGAGCCCAAAGCTCCGAACAGCGCATCCCTGGAATCAATTTAGGGCTTAGGGTTTAGGGTTTAGGGCTTACGGTTTAGGGTTTAGGGTTTAGGGTTTAGGGGTTTAGGGTTTAGGGTTTAGGGTTTAGGGTTCTAAACCCTGGAATCTGCCCGTACAAAGCAAAGTAGGGTAGGCTTAGCTTGCAAGGCCCACAGTTCGCAAGACCCATCCCCCACCCAGCCACCCACCCATCGCTGCAGCAGGAGTCGCAATAAACCTCACAGCCGTGATACCCCCAAATCACAACAGGCATGTCATAGTGTAAAGGAATCCTGCAATATTGGTTTCTCTGGGTCTGTGGAGAACCGGCTCTTCGAGTACGCAGTCGGGTTCCACTCTAACCACAGGGGTCTATACATTACGGGATACTGGTGCTATAAACCCCATGCAACCCCTCTGCAAAGCTTTCAAAAACCACTCTGAAGCCTTCTCAAACCCTAGCTCTCAGCCGGTGCCGGAGCTCCAGATTGACAGGAGCCCAACATGAAAAAAAAAACTCCAGAACCAGGAGATCTGACCCATCTGACCCTTAAACTTAAGCCTGAAGCCGTCCTTTGGGGAGCTAGGGAGGTTTCCGGGGCTTAGGGCTTAGGCTTAGGCTTTGAAGCATCGGGGCGTAGGACCACCTAACACCTGAAACGGTGTCGAACACGACCGTTCGGCCGCCGGGCGCCAGGACATGCCCGGAGATACTATGAAAATTCACCCTGAAGGAATCTCCCTTGAACTAGGTGAGGCTTCTTATCAGGATCATACTTCTCAATGATCCTTTCGCCCGCATCCAGGGTTTAGGGTTTTAGGGCTTAGGGTTTAGGGTTGAGGGTTTAGGGTTTAGGGTTTGCTGGATAGCTGAAAGAAAACCAAACCCAAAAAGCCCGAAGCCCAAACGCACTCCGCCTGAATCCAAGACTCTCGGCCCGCGCCTGCCCCAAAACCAAAAACCACAAAACCCCAAAAAAGGCCCCGGAAGGCCCCAAAACCATTCCGTAGCTTGGCCTCGGCGGAGCTCGTCTCTATGAAGTCTCGGAAGCCCCTGCACCGGACTGTGGAGGTCAGAAAGACTCGCAAATCAAGAGACCGGGTTTAGAGCTTAGGATAGCTTTTGGTGGACTGGGGTTTCCGTTTTGGCGCTTTGAACTTCCGGGTTTTTTTCCAGCTGCATCCTGGCTGAAGCACATGCATACCAGCCCCTCGGCTTGTGCGCTAAGCTTTGCATGCAGCACGAACCTCCGTTAGGCACGAAAGCGCTCGTATTACATCAAGCATGCCTCGCAAACAGAACCGTCACAAGCAAAACGCCTCTCATTCGCACAGCTGAGGCTGCTCACGGCAACGCAAGAGGGTTTTTTCTGCCAAGAACATCACGGCGAGCTTCGTCTGACGCAAACTTGCATGGCAAGCCCACCTCTGGGTGCAGGCGGTGCGTCCCAAGACCACTAAGGCGAGCCCCGGCTTTCGTCCCCCAAGTTTCTGGCATAGGCAGCGGTTTCTTTAAAGGCCCTGAGGCACCTTGCTCGAGGGTTTAGGGCTTAGGATTTAGGGTTTAGAGTTTTTTCTTAAAGGCCCTCAGGTGTTACAAAAGGATTCCACGCCATGCCAGAAGCCAAAGGTCCACGGACCACGTGATCTGCACGGAAAGGGTCCATGGAAGAGTCACAGCATCTGCACAAAGACATCACCGGAAACCGCTGAATTACAACAACGAGTTCAAACACGGTGCACCTAAAGCTATCTAGACTGTTGCTCCAGATGCTGCGCCGGGCACATCTGATGTCTCGCTGCAAAAAGAACAAAAACCATAGCCGAACTCGGCTCGTGCTACTGTGATCAACGCCCAGCTTCACACAGAGACTCCCGTGGAAAGCCAAGCGTGCTGGCGCTTGCTTGCGGCTTGCGCCTTCTTCGCCTGTGAAACTCCGTAGATGACGGCGTACTTTGCGATCTCGCCCAAAGCTTTCGAGTGAACGTTGTGCTCTGTGGCGTACCCGAGCATCATAAGGAATGCATTGAGCCACTCCCTAGCATTCTGCTCATCATACACGAGGTCTGCCAGCTTGTCGCGACTCAACATGTCCTCCATGAAGCTGTACTTGGGCCCTGGAATGATTCGGGGCTGCATTGTGTGGACCAGGAAGGTTTTGCTACTTTTCTGGAAGGTCTTCAGAAAATCCATCGGCGGAGACTCCGTCACCATGGCGGTGCCGCCCTCAGCAGTGTCGCAAGAAACATCAGCAACGTGCTTGCCGGTGACATCCTCGTACGACCACGTGCCATTCGCGACGTTCAAGGCCACTGTTTCAGCGACCCACCAAGCATCCTCACCTTGTTTGTTGGATCCGTCCTCATCACTGACTCCAACCCAGATGATTCTCTGTATGCCTTGGTTGTCGTAGCACGTCACAACTGCTGGCCCCGTGTAGTTGACACACGACTTCTCCACGACTTCACCCGAAGAGCTGTAGGCACAAAGCATCGGATCGCCACTGGACCTGAATCGAAACCGAGATCGCCTTTCTTCCTCCTCTGCTGCACGCCTCCGTGCCTCTTCCTCGCGCTGACGTTTCTGAGCCTCTGCTCGGAGTCTTTCAGCATCTGCTCGCCGCTGTTCCGCCTCAGCTCGTTCAGCGTTGGCCTGGGCTGTTTCCTTCTCAAGCCTTTGCACTTCCTCCTCCACTTGCTGCTTCCACCTCAGTCGGTATTACCCCGAAGCAGTAGCACCCACTCAGGCGCTTCGGTCGGCAAAAGACAGCACCCCTGTGTTCGTCCAGCAAGGTAGACTCTAGACATCTAAACTTAAGCCAAGGTACTTGTCGGTCTCTGCACGCCTGGACGCCAGCGGGACGGGTGCCACACAGAGATCATGGGAGCAAGTCTCGTTCACCTGGAAGCCATTCTCTGCCAGGTTCTTCATCATGTTAAGATCTTCTGCGAAGATCTCTTTCGTCACGCGGGCTCCTCCCTTGTGGTCATACCGTTCAATGATCTCTTTAGCGTACAGCATGCCCGGCACACATGTTACAGGCGCAAGCAGGAGGAAGCTAGCCGAGAGCCTCCGGCAAGCAAGCATGTTGGGGCGAGAAGCGGGCGGGAGCGAACAGGCGAGCAGGAAAGAGGCTGCTCCAATGCGAAGTGGGTAGCTCCTCTAGAATAGGGTCCCTTTGGGGTCCTTTTTATAAGCGTGCCGTACTATATTAGGGACCCAAAAAGGGACCCTAATTTAGAGAACTACCCAAGTACTGACGTCTCAACGATGGTTGATGTGGCATGAGGAGATGTAAGCATCAGACTCACAAGATCCACCCAATGACCTCCGATTCACCCGAAGCCCAGCATGGACCGGTTTCGGGTTTAGGGTTTAGGGACTCTGCTCACGCCAATGAGGGCCAGGCTGTCTGCCGATGAACGTCAAGGAGCATCTGGAGGCCTGCATCGGCGGACTTTGAAGCCCGCGGGTTGGAGCGCAGGGAGGGCAGGGAAGCAGAACGCGGGCCCTGGAAGCCACACTTGTTGCTCACGTTTGTTTCGACATCTCGAGTTTCGAGTTTCGGCTTTCGGGTTGAAGGTGGGCGCAAGATTTGGGGCTGTGTTGAGGGTGATGGAGGTGTAAAACTTCGGCACAAACCTCTGCAAGTCTAGATCTGACATCCGGAGGGTGGAGTAGAATGACCGTTCAGAGGACAGCGAGCTGAAGCCTTGAGATGTGCGGTGCCCGGTGATCTAACATTTCTGGACTTGGGTTTGCAGGTACACTGCATGCTGAGCCTGGCGAGTTTGTCTGAGACTGCCTGGACGAGACCCTAAAGCCGCTGACACAGAAGAACCGGACAAATGTCGTCTTCCACTCGCTGGCGGCCGGCATCCTGCCCGTCTCTCGCGGGTTTTCTACCTGTCTTCGAAACCCACGAGCTGCTCAGCTCCATCTGGGATGCTCCAGCAATGCAAGGCAGACCAGGAAATCCAGAGATGAGGGAGAAGATGACGTGGATGACTTCAGTGTCTTCGGTCCACCATGCTTCCGAACCGCGGCCGTCCGGAGGCTGCATGGGATCATCGAACCATGGCCTCAAACGTAAAAGCTGTCCAAGTAGGCCTACTTCACCCAGTAGCTAAGAGCCATAGAGCATCCATTCCCACTTCGTGTGCAGAAGCTTCCGCTTTAGCTGCTCAAAGTTCTCGATGGAATCTTGGAGCGGCTTCGTGTGTATCTTGCTATACCTGCGTGGAGACTCGAAAATGAGTTGCGGTTATACAGGTTTACTGTACCCACAGTATCATAAGTTAGTGTACGTTCTCGGAAAGCAACCCAGATACCCGGTCAGATTCTCCAGCTGGGCGTCTGCGTTCTTTGCGCAGGAGGTGCCGTCCAGAAGGAAGTTCCTCGGTTGCTCAGAGCTTTGGGTTTTAGGGCAGAGTCCCTCTACGGAGTAAGCCCGATGCCCTCAACCCCGATAGAGTCTCGGCTGCACGTGAAATACGAAGCTCCTGTTGCTACGAGCAGTCCTATGACACACCCAATCGCCCGATACTGGGTGCTTGCTCGGAAACTTCATCTACGCCAGCATTGTCGGGATATGTGTTAAAGCAACATGGTGGAAGTACTATGGTAAGATCATCTAGCAAGAGCCCAGAACAGCTCCGCGATGTATAAAACAGGGCTTTGGGGCTGTAGGGTTCCAGAATTGGGGCTCTTGGTTGCTCAAGCCCAAACCTCAAAACCCCGTTAGGTCCAAAACTAAACCCTAAACCCAAAACCCTAAAACCCTAAAACCCGAAAAAACCCTAAAACCCTAAACCCTAAACCCAAAAACCCTAAAACCCTAAACCCCTAAACCCCTAAACCCAGAGCCTGGGCCCAAACCATGGAGCCAAGCCCTACACATGGACCATCGATGGTAAACCCAAACCCAAAAACCCAGATGCTAAACCCACGGTGTAGGGTTTAGGTTGTTTTTTTTTGAGGGCCTTTTTCCGTCTGCTAAGTCTTAGCTCGGGAGTGGGTTTAGGGTTTAGGGTTTACGAAACCAGAGCAAACTACCAAGAAAGCCCAACTTACCTCCGAATCCAGGCTTCAGGCTTTGGGATAAAGGGCTTTCGGTGAAGGCTAAGCGTGTGAGGCTTAGGGGGAAAATGAAGATACTTTAAGCCTTGACAGGCTACAATTTGGGTTTCTACACTTTCGTATTTAAGTTGGGATTCGGGGCACTGAGTCCCCAGACCCCCAAAGAGCCCTATAACTTAAACCCTACACCTTAAACCCTAAACCCTAAACCCTACACCCTACAACTCAAACCCTAGACCCTAAACCCTAAACCCTACACCTCAAACTCTGAACCCCTGGGAATCGCCTCCGCACTGCTCACTTTGCAACCTTTATAAGGCTCCTACAAAGCCTCCTTATAGAAACCTGATCAGCTTTAGGGGTTTGGGGGTTTGGGGGTTTAGGGTTTAGGGTTTGAGGGTTTGAGGGTTTGAGGGTTTAGGGTTCAGGGTTTTAGGGTTTGAGGGTTTGAGGGTCTAGGGTTTAGGGTTCAGGGTTTAGGGCTTGAGGGTGTGAGGGTCTAGGGTTTAGGGTTCAGGGTTTAGGGCTTGAGGGTTTGAGGGTTTGAGGGTCTAGGGTTTGAGGGTTTAGGGTTTAGGGTTGCCAGAGACTCCAATATCCCTTAATTTAAGGAATATTCCTTAAATTATAGTAGGATCCCTAATATGGTTTAAGGTCTATTCCTTAATTCAGGGATATTGGAGTCTCTAGGTGATCAGCTCCCCGATCAAACCAGATAAACCCTTCTACAACTCTTTGCAGCTTAAGCGCCCTTGGAACCATAATAAAGGCAAGCGTGATGACCTTTTATTCTAACCGAGATAGATACATACCTATAAACCCTAAACCCTAAACCCTATACCCTAAATCCTAAACCCTAAGCCCTGAACCCAAAGCTCCAAACCCTAAACACCTAAACCATAGACAAACCCAAGGCCTGAACCATTCTGGGTTCTTGTTAGGGGATTTTTTTAAAATACCCTAATGGGGATCTATGGTTTCTTTATTATGGTAACTGAAATAAAATCCTGAACCCTAAACGTTAAACCCCAAACCTTAAACCCTCTAAACCCTCTAAACCCTACACCCTAAACCCTAAACCCTAAACCCTCTAAACCCTAAATCCCCAACAAGAACCCAGCGCTTTGCATCCTCGGCTCCTCAGCTCGGTGAGGCTCTCGCTGACGTTCTCGTAATACACCGTCAGCACGCGAAGGCCCCGGCGCTTTGCCTGGGCTCTTTGCGAGGGTTTTGAGTTTATGGGGTTTACCTGGACCCCAAAGAACCTCCCTTTTTAGGGCTCCTTATTATGATTTCTTTATAAAAAGGCAGGTCATTTAGGGTTTAGGGTTTAGGATGAAGAGTTTTTTTTGAGGACCTTTTTCCTGGCAGGATTAAGGGTTTGGGGTCCAGGGCTTTTTGGTTTAGGGCTTAGGGTTTAGGGCTGGGCTGCTCGAGGTTCTGTTCATGAGCAGAAGGGGCAACCATAAACCTCTGAACCCCTGAACCCACGGTTTGGGGTTTAGGGTTTAGGGTTTAGGCTAACCTGAAGTAAACTCCCAAAAAGCTGGTATCAAGGTATCTTCCTTCTCAGAAGATGAGCCCAGTTGCCTCCTTGACCACTCGCTTTGCTTTCTTGACCTTCTCCTGAAAGCTCTAGGAGGTAGGCTTTCCAACTTAAGGGTTTGAGGTTTTTGGGCTGGGGGTTTACGGTTTTTCGGGCTTAGGATTTTAGAACGACAGGGCTTAAGGATTTGGCATTCAACCCTTCACTGAGGGTTTAGGGTTTAGTTCGAGAGGCGTCCGTAGCAAGAACAGTGGACCGAAATGGTACAGAAGCCTGAATAATCAGACCAGGTTTTTCCGAGATTCCTGTACCAACAACAATAAGGAATAGCATTACCAACTCCTCAGACCCCTATAGTGGCCCTTTGCTACCCTACGCAGCATGATGAAGCCCACAAACTCCATGAAACCCCGTAAAAACCCTGTAAACCCAATGAAAGCCTGATGTCAAACCCCATAGAACCCTTTGAAACCCTACCGTGAAGCCCTGTAAACCCCAATGAAACTCTTCAAAACACTGTGAAACCATACAACAGTCTGCAGACCCTACGAAAATCTTATCCGAGAAGGCCCCTGCTGTTTCGCTCGATTAGACCGGTGTCTAAGGTAAGGGTTCAAGTTTTAAGGTCTAGGTCTAGGGTAGGCTAGCGGCTAGGGTTTGCGGGCTTACAGTTTGGAGCTTGGGTTTGCGGTTAAAACAGGGGCCTTGAGAATTAGAATAAGGTTTGGGTAATATTATACTATAATCAGAATAAGGAGCCCTCAAAGTATTATAGGTAACTATAAGGTTAGAGCTCGGGGTTCGATTTCTAGGGTGCAGGGGTCCTGGGTAGATGGTTCAGGGCCCGCCGAAGTATTCATGAATATTTGCAGCTCAAATAAACCCTAAACCCCAAACCCTAAACCTTATTGAATAGGGCGAGCTCTAGACGAGCCTCTGAAAAAATGAGCTTCCCAAACCGTGACCGAGATTGGGGCTCCTCCTGTTCAGGGCGTGGGACCAGGATGAAGGTCGAAGGTAGGGTTTAGGGTTTAGGGTTCAGGGTTTAGGGTTTAGAGTTGACTTGAAGGGCTCTGGGGTTTTACAACCCGCAGCGCCTGAGCAAAGCTAAACGTTGAACTCAGTCCCGGTACCGGAAACCCTAAACCCGGAAACTTGCACAAACGAACGACAAGTGGAAGCTGCTGGTACTTTAACGGTACCTAAACCCTAAACCCTAAACCCTAAACCTCTCCTAAAACCTAAACCCCTAAACCCTAAACCGCATCCTCCAAAGAAGGAATCCAAGGGCTCGGAGGCTGTGAGGCTTCGGGCTCAGGGCATTGACGGTTCTGCGGCTATGGCGTTCAGGGTCTAGGCTTCAGGGGTTTAGGAAGTTAGGGGCTTAGGGGTTTAGGGTTTAGGGTTACTTCACAAAGCTGTCGATTGGGATCGCAGACCCAAAACTCAAGTATATTACTTACGTTACTTATGGGGCACTAGAAGGCGTACTCGGGTTCCTTTACGGGTTACTGTAGGGTTATTATGCTCCGAAACCCAGCTGAGGTAGACTCCAGAGCTTCGCACTAACGGTTTTGAGCTCGGGGGACTCCCTAAACAATCCTGGCCCTCCGAAGACTAGCGGACTTCAGGGCTTTTTGTTTCAGCTTGGGTTGTCCATTTTGGGGTCGAAGATCTGTGGCCCCGAACCCTAAACCCTAAACCCTAAGCCCCAAACCCGAAAACCCTAAGCCCTAAGCCCTAAACCCTAAACCCGAAGCCCTAAACCCAAAGCTTAGCTTGCGGCAGCGGCCTCTTCCTTCTGAAGCTCTTCCAGGATAGTGGCCTCGTCAAGCTGCACCTTCAGCGCAAGGGAGGGTTTTGGGTTTTGGATTTAGGGTTTTGGGTTTAGGGTTTAGGGTTGCTTTCGGGTTTGGGGTTTAGGCTTTAGGGTGAAGCCGAAACCCTGATACAGTATCTAGGGTTCAGGGCGCCCCTCTAAACCCTAGAACCGCAAATATCAAACAATCACTATAGTTAGTCCTAAACCACGATGCTAAACCCAAAAAAACCCTCCACCCAACCCTGATATGCAAAAGCACCCATACTAACTCCGAGTCAACCCATGCAACAGAAAATCTTTTTTTAACTTGTACCTCAAGTCCGAATAAGTTGAGACCGTAACCCTGAACACCCCGAAAACACCAAAACCCTAAAACCCAAAACTCGTAACCCTGAACCGAGAAAACCCTAAACCCTCAAACCCTCAGCTGCAAAGCCCTCAAAGCAGGAAACCCCAAAGAACTGAACCCTTACCTGGTTGCTGTTCAGGAACTTAAACTAAGCTACTGCAATAAGAAACCCTCCATATTCACAGTATATCTCCATTGTGGTAGCTTAAACCCTGAACCCGAAACCCTAAACCCTAAACCCGAAACCCTAAACCCTGAACCCAAACCTTAAACCCTAAAAAATAGGTTCCTTAACAGGCCTTCACAGAGCCGACGGTCTTCGCTACGCTCTCCTCAAGGTGGGCTGGGGGCTTTGAGTCGGACACCAAGAACCCCCTGTGGGGTCTGGGGCTTTGGGTTCTTGTTAGGCGTGGGGCTTGGGGTTTAGGCTTAGGGTTGGTGGTTTGGGGTTTGTAGTAGCATGGTTTGGGGTTTAGGGGATTAGGGGCCGGTTTTAGGGCTTCGGATTAAGGTTTTGCGTGCTGGGTTTAGGGTGTTGGGCCTTAGGATTCGGGGGTTTCGGAGTTAGGGTGTATAGAAAAGGTTTAGGGTCTAGGGCTTC